TTTAGACAGCAGTAATTTCAGAAGTTAAAATATTAACAGATTTCTGAAGAAAATAGAAACTACATGAAGGAAAAGAGAAAACTGCACTACCATTAGACCAGTTCATCAAGCCCTTACAAAGAAATTAACATTCTCTCGCTCTTATGCTCCCTCTCAAACTTATTTCTTTACATACAACTCTCAACATTACCGGTACCCTCATCCTCTCGATTCTTCCTTTTTCTCCCTATAGAACGTACAACTTTATCTGGACTTTAAGGTGCTAGTTCACCAAGACAAATGCCCGCAGTAAGACACCTGCATCTTCCTTTCGGAGTAACAGTTTTAAAGTCTCTGATTTGACTTTGGCGTGACTTATATAGCCAATTTAAAAAAAAAATAAGAAAAGGCCAAATAAAATGTTGATACAAAAGGCACAATAAAATTTTGTTAAAACAATAAAATCTCCAATCAAAATTTTGTAACAAAAATGTAAATTATAAAACTGGTAAAATACCCTTTTAAAAATTTTAATAAAAACAGTAAAATACCCCTTTTAAAATTTTGATAAAACATAAAATATGATCCTTTTAAAAGTTTGATAAAAACAGTAAAATTTCCCCAATAAATTGCTATGAGCTGATATAAAGGGGATGGTTTACAGAGACTGTCAGAGTCTTGTGTAATTCAGATAAACTGTAAACAGTCTAGACACTAACTTGACGATAGCAGATGGTCAGGTACGACTAATTAGTTTAAACGTCCTCTTTTCTGATGAAATGGTCGCAAAGGGACGTCCGTTTGATTTTTTGTGGGTGTGGGGATTTTGGAAACTTAATATCCTTGCCTGGTAAGAACTGGAAAAAAAGGATCCATTTAAATTTAGATAAAAACAGTGAAACAATTCCAATTTAAATTGGACCAAAAGACACATAAAATACCCTGACCCTTTTAAAAAAACAATAAAATTACCCATTTAAAATAATGATAAAAACAGTAAAATATTCCAAATTAAAATTTGGATAAAAACAGTAAAACATCCCACATTAAAATTTGGATAAAAATAGTAAATCATTTCTAATTAAAAATTGGATAAAAACAGTACAACATCCCAATTAAAATTTGGATACAAATAGTAAAATATCCCCGATTAAAATTTGATAAAAACAAATAAAATACCCTTTCCTTGTTAAAAGCATGTTACAGAGCTTCACATACTGACTGAGCCACCTTACTCTCAGTCTGTACCAGGAATAGCGGATACTTGGATAAAAAAAGTAAAACATCCCCAATTAAAAATTCATCCCCTATTAAAATTGAATAAAAACAGTAAAATCCCCAATTAAAATTGGATAAAAACAGTAAAACATCCCCGATTAAAACTGAATAAAAACAGTAAAACATCCCCAATTAAAAATTGAATAAAAACAGTAAAAACAATCCCCAATTTAAAATTGGATAAAAACAGTAAAACATCCCCAATTAAAATTGGATAAAAACAGTAAATCATCCCAAATTAAAAAATGAATAAAAACAGTAAAATCACCAATTAAAAATTGGATAAAAACAGTAAAACATTGCCAATTAAAAATTGATAAAAACAGTAAAACATCCCCAATTAAAATTGTTAAAACAGTCAAACATCCCAAATAAAATTTGGAAAAAAACAGTAAAACATCCCAATTAAAATTGAATAAAAACAGTAAAATAATAATTTTCCCAGTTAAAATTTTGATAAAATCAGTAAAACATCCCAAGTAAAATTTTGATAAAAATAGTAAAATGTCCCTGATTAAAATTTGATAAAAACAAATAAAATACCCTTAAGTTTCCTGGTTAAAAGCATGTTACAGAGCTTCACATACTGACTGAGCCACCTTGCCCTCAGTCTGTACCAGGAATAGCGTTTTTTTCCTGGTTAAAAGCATGTTACTGAGCTTCACATACTGACTGAGCCACCTTGCCCTCAGTCTGTACCAGGAATAGCGGTTATTGGATAAAAAAGTAAAACAGCCCCAATTAAAATTGGATGAAAACAGTAAAACATCCCCAATTAAAAATTGAATAAAAAAAGTAAAATTCCCAATTAAAAATTGAATAAAAACAGTAAAACATCCCCGATTAAAATTGGATAAAAACAGTAAAACATCCCCATTTAAAAATTGAATAAAAACAGTAAAATCTGCAATTAAAAATTGGATAAAACAGTAAAACATCCCCGATTAAAATTGAATAAAAACAGTAAAACATCCCAAGTAAAATTTGGATAAAAATAGTAAAATATCCCCAATTAAAATTTGATAAAAACAAATAAAATACGTTTTCCTGGTTAAAAGCATGTGACAGAGCTTCACATGTTGACTGAGCCAGCTCACTCTCAGTCTGTACCAAGAATAGCGGATACTTGGTACATATCCCCACCCTCCAAAAGGTTTTGACCGAGTCGCCGGACTCGGTCTCGGTCCAACTGAGCGACCTCACTCAGTTTGTACCAGTACTAGCGGATACTTGATACATATGGTAGGGGACGTTACTACCGGTATACCTAAAAGGGAGGTATAGCATCTGTGAACCCTAAACACAGAGAGCGGCTTAACTTCCCATACGTATACAAGTATCCAATGCTTACTGATAAGAAATGTTATCACACTTTTCATGTCAGTCACTGAAAATAATTTATAAAATATAACTATTGAAAAACTGTAGGTTCACTAGTTTATATTTTTTTTTTTATTATGTGTCCATGACCTTTCATATTTTTCTGCTCTTTGGTCGGGTTGTTGTCTCTAACACATTCCTTGTTTCCATTCTCAATTTTATCAAAATGATTGGGATATATGGACTGTAAAGGGCGTAAACAATGAGAAAAATGAAAAATGCATAGCAAGTTTTAAAAGCCACGGACATAACGAAATATGATACAATTCAAATGAGGAAACCAAAGGCCTTATTCAATAACAAAAAAAAAAACAAAAAAAACAAATATGACATACAACAACAAATGACAACCATTGAATTACAGGGTCCAGACATGCGTTCATTTTTAGTCTATGACCTTCAACAAGTTACCTTAAAATTGACAAAGATCCAATACTGTGAAATATTATAACGACTCCAAGCCAACCAGTCTTTGTCCTTGTTACTAAATGATGTGTACTTGACAGATAATAAGCAAATACCACATTCAGTCCTAAGTGGTCTGATTCAGCCAGGGATCCAAACTCAAAAACTCTTTCACTCAGGACGAGATAACAAACAAAATCATATCTTCAAACAGGAACTGAAAAGGAGTTTTTATTTTTTAAAGGAAACAAAAAACAGTTTCAAATTATTGATATTTATTCAAAAGAGACGAGAATGATGTATCAACTAACTCATACTATACTGCTTAATACATAAGAATATGACAGTCATTGAAAAAACTTGCACCCTGCATTAAAAAAACCTAATATAAATTAGGAAAAAAGCATGGGTGTGTAATTGTTACAGAAATTTCAACTTTACAATCATTATGAACAAACAAACAGGGAAATTAGTTCATGTAATTCTACTTGAAAATAGTAAAACAGATTATAATATTTTACATTTTTTGTGACTATTAAATTAATTAATTAAATCATTGTACAATTCAAACAATATTAGCATTCCATAAAATATACCTTTCCTTTTAATGCATTATAAAATAATATTTGACATTTCCTTTCAACTATTGATATATTCTTTATAAGAAATCACTAACTTAATAAAATTTAAATCAAAAGGAGTGGCTTTCAATTTCATGGACAGGGTTTAAAACATTTTTTTACAGCTATGTAAAAAATGACGAAGTCAAATGATTTACCATTTAATGTGAAAACAAGTTAAATCCCATTTTTTAACCAAAAAAGAGGAATCTCCTATTCATCGATAATTCCGGGATGATGCAATCAACAAACAAATAATCAATCAATACCCACAATATGAAAACCTTTACTAATATTAAAGGGGGGGGTTGAATCAAACTTAAAATAAGACGTTGACATAGCTGATTGACATGACCCATTATTCTGAAGTCATTTATATGTGAGAGCTAGGACACAAAATTAGAAAGGGAGCATATAATATCAGATGCATTTTTGTAGATGATGATGATGTACATATAATTTGAAATCCCCATGTCAGACCAAACCACTTAATGCATTATCTAGACCTCTGTTTACAAGCTTATTTTTTTTTACAGAGCTCTAAATAATACTTTCATCTTACTTTATATACATCTGATATAGCATATCTAACAAAAAATATATAAAGATAATAAATTAAAGAATACATTCTAAATTATTGCAGGCCTTCCATGCAGTGAAAGAACGAACCCATATGAAGAGATAAGCAGGGGTATTCCCTCCCCTTACCCCTAAATCTCAGCCTGCTAGTCTTAGACCATTCATCACAACATTTCATTTCATAAAGGCCACTAAAGCAATTCTGTAAAAAATAAATAAATAACAAAACATTGTATACACAAAAAAAATATCAGATGCATTTAAAAAAAAATGCCCTTATAAATATACCTGAAAATAACAACCCACATTTTATACCACCCAGTTATTATCTAAAACTCTGTTTACAATTTTTGTTCTTTTTTCTTTTTCTTTCTTTTTTGTTTTTTTTTTTTATACAGAGCTTTAAATAACAACTTCACAAAGTTTATACATCTGATATGTACAATATTTGTATAAGACCTTTACCGATGGAACTAACCAGTATGAAAAGATAAGCAGGGGTATTCCCTCCCCTTGACCCTAAATGTGAGCCTGCCAGTCTTCCCATTCATCACAACTGGTGTTCCTGTTGAAAAATTTACAAAACACTATTTAAAAGTGTTGTACATCTAAATGGGACATGTTTGTGATGATAACTATAATGATACTATACACTTGCAGTAGTCTGCATAAAAAAGTTTTGAATTTTGTACTATGCTGTATACTTAGTTAACCTTCTACAACAAATCAATCAAGTAATGTACATAAATACAATTTCCCTGTTTGTCCTTTAATCACAAAAAATGAAAGGTTTAAAAAATTTTACAGGTATATTATAATGTAGAAAAATAAATTCCATATTCCATAATGGTATTATATAAATGTCTCACTTTTATACATGCATGTAGTCGCTTTTTTCACATATAACTACTCTAATATGTAAATAAGATTGCCAGATGAAATTGTACAAAATTCAAATGAATAATATATTACATTTTTTCTTTTTTCCATCCAGATTTATTCTTTTTTAAACCAAATCTGCTCAATTTAATTTTTAGTGATCAATTAATACAGGTCTTGTTTCAAATAGACACTGTACCCACATAGAAACATATTTGAAAAAAAGAGAATTAAACCAATGGCAGTTGATTGTTCTCACTGGTCACATCAAAGTCTTACATTAAATTATACTTTAAACACTACATGTATTAACTATGACCATTTAAGGGAGAACTGCAGGCCTATGAAATTCTAATGTAGTCAACATGTCTGGTTGAGAAAGAATAAATCTTTACAACTGGCTCTCCCCTCTCTCTATTGAAACATAACTGTAATACTACATATATTGTTTGTCAATAAATGTGTCCAAGTTCCTCAGATCAACAGAATCCCTTCTTCTTCATCAGTTGATTTGTAAATTTCCAAGCTCAGTCTCATCTACAAATAGAAAATAAAATTTCACTTAAAACATGGAAATCATAATTTACAAAATAATACATATAATGTTGATGTCAGAAGATATTAATATCCTATGCAAATATGGGGTAATCAGGAGACAGAGGCTGAAGCAATTCTTCATAGCCAATGAATTATATTTAATCTTAAAGCATGAAATGCCCTCATGTACTTACATTTTAATTTTTGTTTCAGATTTGATTAAAATACACATCTGCATTTTTCAGGCACCATGGATTAAATATTTTCCTTAACCAAAAGATTTATTATTTATATTACTAACCTGAATGTTCCCTTCCAATCATAGACATTATACTGTGTAAGCTGAAAAATAGATTAAAAATTAGAATATGGGCTTTCAAAAAAAATTGTTAGATAAAATGTCATTTTAACAAAATATACCACCTCTATAGCATTTTTGTGTTTAAGGTTGCTGTATTAATGATGTATATTATTAATTTGTAAATTTTGACTAATTTGATTCAGTCAGGAATAGTCACATGTTAAACTATATTTTCAAAGGTCGATTGAAAACGGCAAATAGAAAAGTGATATTGCACGGTTATTTTTAGAATATCTAAAAACCGACATACTTTGTGACGTCATCTAATGAATTTCATGATGTTAAAAGATTTTAAAAAGTGTATATTTATGATCGATTATTAAAAAAAAATAATCTTCAAATACATAAGATGTACACACAAAAACTAATTGAGATAACAATTAACATGTTATTATTGTCAAAGAGACAATATGATATTTTTAAAATTCCAACAAAATTATATGCACTGACGATTATGATACAAATATGGTCGGAAATAAATAGTATAACAACTGTACCCTTTGTATGGGCTCAATGCAGGATATATCGACCCAAAGAAGTATATCGACCTCAGACTTTGTCCTCAGTCAATATTCTTCTTTCAGGTCAATTTATTCTTGTATAGACCTCATACAAAGGCTATAATTGTATAATACCCTCACATCTTTATAACTAACAAAATATTTTTTCATTGTAGTTTTCACTGTAAAAATAAGTAGAAGTGTTCTAATTGCCTGAGTAAGACAATTATCAATGTGTGGCTGTTCAAGGCAAAAGGTCAGGTCATGTTTTTTCTGAACTATGTTTAAATGTCAGTTTCAGCCTCGGCACAAGAAGTCATTTATAGACTTTACCGGTCAAGTCTTTACAATACTACCGCTATGGAAGCCCTGGGTCCGTGTGCTTGTTGTCGAAATATAAGTCCTTGAAAATTTGGCGGGAAATGATTCTCTAGATTTTTCATACATTTCACATTGGCATCTTATAACACGGATTTTATAGGATTTTCAAATATGGCTTTTTAAACTATATGTAATAAAATTATGAAAAGAAAAGCAGGGGTTTAGTGGGCAAAATTTATTTGCAAATGGCAATTCAAAAATAAATCCAGAGGATTCCGAATATCTGGCAAAAAATCAAAAATAAGAGGAGTGAACATCCTTAAAGATGTCAACAATTGTATTTATTCAAATTAAGAATTCTCATGTCATAGGTTTCTATTTTTACTTCCTTATTAAATCTATCTAACTTAATTCTATCTAACTTAAATCTATCTAACACATGCTGCGTTCACACGTAATTCGAATTCGATTCACATTAACTAATTGGAGTTAGTTTAATTCGCAATTTAAACGTTTTATGTCCGAACGTAATTTTTAATATGAATTGCAATGCGCGTTAAATTTGCTTTACTGTCTGAAAGTCGTTAACTTTTAATTCGCATTATCAATTAATCAATTAGAATTTTATTCGAATTACAACTACAAGAAAGTATCCACACCACAGTTTAAATCAAATAAAAGCGAATAAACTAATTCGCATCAACGAAAACGCATTTTTAATTCGAATTGGATACTAATAATTAGACAATTCGAATTCGATTCGAATTAAAAAAAGAAGTGTGTGTGAACGTGATTAGCGAATTCGATTCACATTCGATTCAAATTCAATTTGAATTAAATGTATGTGTGAACGAGGCATGAAATCTAACAAACTTAAATCTAAAATACCAATAGGATTTAATAGTCAAAACTTACTAGTATAAATGTTTGATATCAAAATTTCAAAACTTTCTAATGATTTGGTTCAGACTCATACAGAAACCAAAACAGTTTGATGAATTAGAAGGACAATACCTATAGCAGTTTTAATTATGATAGAAGCAATAAACTAGAACCTCAGCCCAGGCATTAATTTGACTGAGTTAACATACCTCAAAGTTGGTAAGATATGACTTCCAGGTCCTACTGTCCTTACTTCAATAGATCATTTACATGTCTTCAAAATGTCCAGGATAACTGAAAAAAAAAATATGTTGAATTCTAAACTGTAATACTAGTAAAAATGCTTATTGAAGGCTGTACAGTGATCTATTGTTTATTTCTACGTCATTCAGTCTCTGGTCAAGAGTTGTCTCATTGGCAATCATACTGGATCTTATTTTTATATATATACATGTATATTGAATTTTAGTCAATTAATTAACATTTAATCCTAGCAGTAATTAAATACATAAAATTTGATATAATTAGCAGTTAATACATATATTATCAGATACATAATTTCTTCTAAATTTACCAGCCTGATTTTCAAGTACTGTTCGATTTTTTACTAGTTTATGCATGTATTTTATGTAACTAGTCAATTTTTACTTGTAATAAGTAATTTTGTCAGAATGGTTGCTACAAGTTGAACAGGAACATCTACCCTTCCTTTTCTTTCAAGAGCACCCTAATTAAAATTCTCCATTTTGATGGGGTTCATATTTCTCAGTTGAGTTTTCATGATAAGTGTTGGATTGCTCCCTTGGAAAGTTCTCCCTGTTATTTACACTAAAACAGAATATCAATGAATACTTTTGGTGCTCTGTGTATTATCTTGTTGTGGATATTAGCTAGACTTTTCAAGACAAAAAATTGTGAGTGAACACAACAGAATCATAATTGCTTAAATGAAATGACTAAACATCTACAACATGTATTTTTGTGTAAAATTACCTCATCTTTTGCATGTAAAAGCTTCAGACCCAGTTTTGATGTGCCTTTCTGGGGATTAATCAGTATATATCCTACTAGCACTGTCCATCCACATGAATACTGGTCACATCATTATAAATGTCCATCATTCACTTGCTCAGGTTAAAAGCTGGTTAAATCTGAATTATGTCTATTCCTGCCAGTTCCATCATTTGAGTATTTCATTGTCCACTAATTAATCTGACTGGTCACATGTATCCTCAAACAATTTGTCCATTCAAGTCAATATATTTAAAACAGGCATGACTGTGAGGTTGATACTAGAAAAGTCCATTTACACTGTTATTTTTATCTAGTTGAATCAAGAGTTATCATATCTTTTCTCAATTCTATTATCCTCATGCCTTTACATGCAGTTTATTTCAGAATTTGCCAATTAATTCCAAAGTTTTAAAAAAGATGTGTTGGTTTTTTGAAATTTAATTTTGAGATGAATTGCAAGTTTTTTTTTCAACATATTTATTTAAAATTTAGAAAAAAAAAGGATAATTTTATTTATAAACAAGAAATGATTGTAACAGGATGCTGTTACGAAGTCTCCCAAACGAAGCTCCCATAATTCGTAATTCCCAGGGTCGCCTGACATTGGGCAACGTCCAGTGAAAATTGGTTTGGTCCAGTAAAGTTATATGCATTAGTGATGTCTGGGGACTAACCTTGTATATCATTCAAATCATCTTGGCATGACAAACCAGAATATATATGGTTTAGGGGTGGGAATCTCGACCATTTACAAGATACTAGAACATTGGAGGTGGGGAGGAACCCCTGGGGACTGGCCCTATACGTCATTCAAATGTTCATTACATGACGAACAGGAATATATATGGTTAAGGGGTAGGGATCTCAACCATTTACAAGATATTAGAACATTGGGGGTGGGGGGAACCCCTGGGGACTGACCGTATACGTCATTCAAATGTTCGAGACATCACAAATAGGAATATATATGGTTTAGGGGTGGGGATCTCAACAATTTACAAGATATTAGAACTTTCTCAAATGGCAGGGGGTCGGGATGACCCCTGGGGACTAACCCTGTATATCATTCAAACCATCTTCGCATGACAAACCAGAATATATATGGTTTAGGGGTGGGGATCTTTACCACTTAGAAGATATTAGAACTTTCTTAAATGGGGGGGGGGGGGGGGGTGGGGGTGACCCCTGGGCACTAACCCTGTATTTCATTTGATGTGCTTTATCATGACAAACCAGAATATATATGGTTTAGGGGTGGGGATCTCGACCATTTACAAGAAATTAGAACTTTCTCAAATGGCAGGGGGTCGGGATGACCCCTGGGGACTAATCCTGTATATCATTCAAACCATCTTAGCATGACAAACCAAAATATATATGGTTTAGGGGTGGGGATCTTGACCACTTACAAGGTATTAGAACTTTCTTAAATGGTAGGGGGTGGGGGTGACCCCTGGGGACTAACCCTGTATTTCATTTAATGGGCTTTATCATTTAGAACATTTTCAATTAAAAAGATTGTGTCTATCACAAACGGTTTTCAATTTATAATCATTTGAAAATTTAAAAAAATAAAATCCCATAGGGTTCTATAGTAAAACCTTCCTTTCTTTTTGCCCCTCAAAGTACCCCTTTATAAACCCCATTGCACAAACAAAACCCTGATTGCACCACTAGACATGTTAGTCTAACATATTGTGAAACCCTAAGTAAATCTGAAAAGTGGTTTTGGAGAACGGGTGCGGACAAGTTCAAATTTAAAAGCGGCGGAAGAAGAAGAAGAAGAACTAGATTTGCCATTGCAAGCAATAGCGGATGTCACCCTTCCCCCATTGCCACTAGATTGCAGCCAGTTTAAAAAATTTAAACAGTGAATGCACATATATACTGATGGCTATACATCTTTCTGTAATTTTTAAGAACATTTAGCGGATTTATAAATTTTACGCATAATTTTTCCTTTTTTGCCTTGTTTCCATGGTAATGGCAGCCATTTTGGAAATTCCAATGCCAATTGCCGCTTCCACACATGACAGTCAACATTATACTGAAGTTTCATTAAGTTTGAAGCATTCTGAAATTTTTGAAATTTTTGCTCCTGTATCCATGGTAAAATAGTAGTTCCAATGATTGTCAAAATCATTCAAAACCTGTATATAATGGACAACTATATTGTATAAAAAATTGATGATTTTAAGTTAAAGCATACCAAAATTATTCACCAAACCCTGAAGTTTTTGGAGCATTTTGACCTTTTTGCATTGTTTCCATGGTAACAGCAGCCATTTTGGAAATTCTAACTCCAAATGCCACATCTTCCAATGTTGCTCATCGTTACTGTGAAGTTTCATTAAGTTTGGAGCATTTTGATATTTTTGAAATTTTTGGTTTAGTTTCCATGGCAATATAGTAGTTCCAATGATTGCCAAAATCATCCAACACCAGTATATAGTGGGCATCTACATTGTATTAAAATATAATGATTCTAAGTTTAAGCATATCCAAACAGTTCACCAAAACCAAAAACTGGCCTTTTTCACATTTGTTCCGTTTCCATGGTAATGGCAGCCATTTTTTATGTTCCTAAGACCTACTGCAACCCGAAATTTTGTGTTCCTCATTATAGTGAACTATCATTAATATTGGTTCCATTGGCTCCAAAAAAACTGCCGGACAAAAATCATTGGAAGAATAATAATAATAACAAAGAAACAGAGGAAAAGCAATATGTCACCCGACATTGTCGATCGGGTGACATAATAATAATAATAATAATAACTGAGCAAAAACAATAAGTCTTCCCAAACTTCGTTTGGGAGACTTAATTATTGAAGATATTTTGACTATCAGCTGTGTGGGAACTAGTTTGGGAGACTTAATTATTGAAGATATTTTGACTATCAGCTGTGTGGGAACTAGTTTGGGAGACTTAATTATTGAAGATATTTTGACTATCAGCTGTGTGGGAACTTGCAAAGCTTTTACAAGAAACGACAAACTACTCTTTCAGCATGGTAGCTAACATTGGTCTCTGGTGGATAGTTGTTTCATTGCCAATCATTCTACATCTCATTTCATATCTATACGGAATCTTATATTCCTCATCTAAATGCATGTTTCATTGATCATTTGACCAATTTTATTTAACATTTAGATGACATACTTTTTTCAAGATTTTTAGTTTTAAAATATTCTATAAATTCAAAATTCATTTAAAAAAAAGGGTAATCATTACATACAAAATACATTATTTAAATTTTGTTGTATTTATTATAAGATTTTGATATTTCAGGTAAGTATCTGTTTTCATTTCTAGATAAGTCAATATATGATTATCTCCCCCTGATTTGGAACAATTTTGATAAAATGTCTTTTTTTAATTCATTAAAAAGTTTTCAATTCTGGCGTATTTTCTCAAAACTCAGAGATGATGTTTTCAATCAAGGATAATATTTCTCAAAATTTGCAAATATAAAAACACTTTAAAATGAAACTTAATGCCTTTATGAATTGACTGCAGATGCTCAGAATGTACCAAAATGTCTTGTGTGAAAAAGTCTGACAAACTATGCCTAAATGTAAACATTTTTTTTTGTAAAATAAAAATATTTGTTAAATTTTGCATTTCATTTCTACAATTTACACATTTTTTGTGTGAACAAATTTCTGATCAATAAAAAAGTAATGTAAAAACAAAATCAATACTGGATACTCATTTCTATCCAAATAGATTTTATTTTAACATATAAAAACTCAAAAAATAGAACATTAAGACTCAATTGGTTGGGTTGTGCTGAATGTTTCTTAAACAATGGAGAATGCTCTATATTGAACATTTAAATATTTGAAATATGAAATATAAAAATTCCTCAAACATTTCCATAATAGCAGGTGCACACCTTCAACATATGTGCAATCTTCCTGAGAAGCTTCAGGGATCTGGGTTGAAAACTGTAGGAGAAATTTATTTAACACAAAACATGTACCTTCTTTCATATATTTTGCTGAAAATTGCAAAGTTCCCAAGTCTGGAAAAAATAACAAACATTCCTCAAACAACTTCATTATGATAGGTTCAAAACTTTCAACATTTATGCAAACTTCCTGTGAATTTTCAGGGATCTGAGTTGAAAAGTTAGGAGTTTACACAAGTGGGGTACCTGAACCATTTCGACGCCCACTCCCTGCCCCTCGGCCTGCCCTATATCAGCGTTCTATAAACATGATTTGGACATTGTCCAACCCTGTCGAAAATCATGAAAATGATTATTTCACATATAAATCATGTAATCTCTAGTTTTTCTATGGGAAAATAAAATGTAGATAAGTAAACTAGGAATCAGTTAAAGGTAAGATCAAGTTACATAGAAAAGAAGTGAGAGCAAATGAAGGAGCTATAACATAGAAACAGGGAACAGGTTTGAAATAAGAACAGGGAACAGATTTTAATTAAGAACAGGGAACAGGTTTTAATTAAGAACAGGGAACAGGTTTGAAATAAGAACAGGGAACAGATTTTAATTAAAAACAGGGAACAGTTACCAGTTGTGTCATATCAGTTAGGTCCTTTTACACTGGAAACTGTTTTGGCAAAACAATTTAGAAATATTTTTTCATGGACCGATTTAATTTCATTCATTTACTTATCTATTTATTAGTAATACTTTAACAATGAAAACAAAATTTGTTCTGATTAAATGTTTTTTTTTACAATATTTATGTACTCTTTGAAGTTGGTAAATTTTAGTATTAATCAGTTTTTGAATTATGGATAAAGAGTGATCTTAAACAGATTTAATTTATGTAAGTCATGCAAAGTTAAGTTATAGACTGGGTAAAAGTCAAAAACAAATGCGATAATTTCCCCCATATACTATTGTGTTCTATTTTCCGAGCTTTGTATTATTATGACGTGAACTTAAGATGTTAAAAAGTTTCTTCTGATTTCCATTAATCTTTATGTCCTTTGCACTTTTTTTTTAAAGTAATTATTTGATCTTTATAGTATAAAAAGGGATATGGGGTACATTTCAATGAGACAGAAGAAACACAACCACAAAAATAATCTACACATCAAGATGGCAAGAATAGAAAGTGTGTCAAGCTCAAAAATATTATTTGTGACATAAAGGGGATTAATGAAAAGTGACTTTTTTCTATTTAAATAGCAGGTTATTTAAGTTAACTTAAATTATAAAACTTATAATTAGTCTTTGTTACTTCTTTAGTCTAAATTAACACGAATGTGATTTTGACTATTTTTTCAAATCTTTGATGGGATGTAGCATTTTTTTTTTAAATGTTTTTGTTTTCGTCTAAAATTTACATTTTAAATTCAAATAAAAAAGGTGTGGAAATCCTTTACTAAAATCCATGTTAAAGCCCGGGAAGTCAAGTTTTATTGTACTTTACTAAATTTTGATTGAAAATGGTGTGGGTGCTATTTCAATTAAACAGCAACTAAACAACACAAAAAACTGCACCTAAAACGAAACAGTCTTCAAAGAATGACAAGTACATGTTTTTATACCATATGTCAAGTTTAAAAATACTAAATTTAATTAATTTTAATCAGTAAATTATGTACTGTTTTAACCAAAATTTTGTCTTGAAGTGGGATTTTCCAACAGGGAGGGGGATATTTAGAAGTTATCATTACAAACTTTTTTCAGTATTAAATAAAAACAACACTTTGGGGAAAAACACTTACTAGTAAATGATTTTGGTAACTTTGAACATTACAACTGGAATCTCTTGCTATTCTAAATAATTTATCTAAATTCTGAAATTTCAAAAGGGAATAATTTGTCATGATTTTCATCCAAAAGTACAAGGGAATTTGTACTTCACAATCTTCAGAGCAACAACACAATCATCAGAATAGTGAGAATACAACAACAACACAATCATCAGAACAGTGAGAATACAACAACAACACAATCATCAGAACAGTGAGAATACAACAACAACACAATCATCAGAATAGTGAGAATACAACACCAACACATAACTTACTACCCCTCATTACCCAGTAACTTCTTCCTCCCCAGGCCCCGGACTTCCCTTACTCCCTTTTATCTCACCATTTCACCAGCACCTGTGGTAACCCTCCCCAACCTCAAAGCCCTTAAATACCAGTCCCTGGACTCCCCTCTCCCCCTTTT